CCCTCCCTCCCTCATCCTCCGTGCGCGTTCACATCCCTTATACTGCCCCAGACAGACGACAATAAGGGATGACAATAATAATCTTTCTAGCAGAGCAATAACGCGTGGGAAACGACGCTTTCGCCCCAGCCGCGCTGTAAGCAAACCGAACCGTCCGTCCGTGGTCCACGCGTCGCGCGACCTGAAGCCTTTCTTTATCGTCCTGGTTCTTCACCCCCTTCCTGCCGTTCCACTTTACCCCTGATAGCCTATATCCACCCCATTCGACGCTGCTGTGGAATTATCGCATGCAAGCGCTTCTCTGTTTGGCTTGCTGGGCTGGGGTAGCCGGCTGGCCCGCCCCGCCCCGCCCCGCCCCGCCCCGCCCCGCCAGCCCTCTGCCAGAGCGGTTTAATGCTATACGGCAATACAGTCCGGCCCGGGTCAGGGTGACGCCGTGTTTGCTGGCTGGCTGCCCGTCTGACCCGCCGGCCGGCTGTCTCTGGCTGCTCGCTCTGACCCCCCCCCCCCACAATTAAAACACAGACGAGCATGGGGCCGAGGAGGGCCGCGCTGCGGTCAGCTCTGCTCTGCTCCGCGGCTGACAGACCTGGGTTGTTATCGTGGCATTTCATGTAGAGATTTTAGTTCCCCGTAAAAGGTTCAATTTGGAAAAAAAATAATAAAAAATAAGAGGTCCTTTTTTCCAAATTTTCGTTATTTTCCATGTTTTTTTTCGTTTTTTTCTGCTACTTTTTCTGCTGTTTTTTCGCGGCTTTCAAATCTTTAATTTCACATGCGAACCTGAGAATATCGCATTACGAGTGGCTACAACAGCATATCATGCAGCTGGACCCCGCAGAGGCCGCCTGCCTCTCCCAGGCGGCAGCAGCCAGCCTTCTGTCCGCGAGCGCCCGATGACGCGAGGGTAGGCCACCCGCTCAGCGGCCGTGCCGCACGGCGGCCTACCTCGCGGGCGCCTGGCGCTAGGAGGCGGGGATCCGCAAGGTGTACTACTTCACTCCAAGTAGGAATTTTAAAAGAGAATCAGTAAATAACAGCTCTAGGCAAAAAAAAATCGAAAACAGCAAAATTAGCTTGAAAGTACGCTTGCATTTATAGCGAAGTACCCCTGGCTGCTTGCGCCTTGGCGTCAGGCCAACTCGCGTTGTTTCAAAGCTTTCCTCCTGAATGATGCAAACAATCAAAATAAAGAGATTCTCGCTCGCACTCACATACCGGGGCGAGTGAAACCTTCCCGTCGAGGGGAGTGCATATGTCCGGGCGCCCCCCCCCCCCTTTTCCGCTAGAGGGGTTTTGGCGGTACGTGCGGTGGCGCAGACTGTTTGCTGGCCAGCCTTGGGAGCCTGGGTCCTTTGAAGGATTCAAAGTAAATTGTCCCATTCCCTGTGTGTACAACAGCACAGGGCCCTGAGTGTGTTGTTTGCGCACCTGAGTGCGCTACTTATTGGTTCACCCGCTACCTCCTCTCTCTCTCTCTCTATCACTCGCTCTCCTCCCCCTTTCCCCCTCTCCCATCTCTCTCTCTCCCCCCCTCCCCCCTCCCCTCTCC